GGCGCGCCTCACGTTGATTCGTGACGCTGTACTTCCCGTCGCGCGCCTATCGGCGGCGTGACGTCGAGCGTCGTGACGTGAGGATGCGCCCCGCGCTCATACCTGTCTTTGCGTATCGGCGCTGCCTTCGGGCATACCGTCATGGGGAAACGCCACGAGACGAACTCGCCGGGATGTGTCTGCCGGCCGCAGTTTGCCTGCAGGCTGACCGTGTGTGATTTCAGTGGGCTGGTGGACTGGAATGATAGGAGAGTAGGTCTGCGTATGGACAGGACACGACCAGCGCGGCGCTGTACAATGACAACGACACGCGCCACCGGTCGGCTCTCCTGATATCGGCATAGACCAGCGCGTCCCCCTCGTCAACGGGATCCATGGTGCCAAGCATAAGCTTGTTGGCGTGTGTTGCGGATATGAGTGTCTCACTTGGTGCGCGCCTGGTATCGACGCTGACTCTGCACAACATTTGGTCCACTACCTCACTAGCGTACGTCAAGATGACTTACTGGCGAGATCATCGAAATCGAGAGTCGAGGACGAAGAGCCGGCGCGAGGTTCCAAGGGCGGCAGCGGTGGCGCCAAGTCGAGGAAGGGCGCTGCGAAGCGCAAGTTGACAAGCGCGCCGGGACCTTCGCCAAAGCCGAAGAGGCAGAGGGTGTGATGTAAGGTGGTACGCTTGAATGAACAATCACGTACGAGGGAACGTACTGTTGCTGCGCTGAATGTACTTAGTTTTTCTGTATCAAACTGTTCTTGTACTTCGTTGGAGACGAATGCGGCCGCAGCCCGGTGTACCACTGCAAGTGAGCTGGCGTACGCTACGTGTGAATTTAAGGAATGGTGATTGAATATACTCTACACAGACATGCCCCAATACACTTGTCGAGTCAGTACGAAGAGGGACGAGAACATAGGCGGTATGCAGGCATCGCATGCCATGTCAAGACCAACAAGATCGAGCGCGTGGGGAGCTTCGACATCGAGAACTGGGTGCTATAGTAGTATATCTATAGGCGGGTACACTACTCAAGTTCAGAGCCTCATCAAGAAAATGTCAAATAAGACGAACATTTCCTGATGAGAGTACGTGTCTGCGTACTGGGTATGTCAGGATTAGGCGTTGAAAGGTAGGAAGAGAGGAATAAAAAGGATTCACCCCCGAGGTTCGAACCGGCGGAGACGCTATCGCGTTGCTTCGCCACTCGACTAACAGAGCACATTACACAATACGTCTGATAAACACAGATAGCGTCCCGCGCGAATCTCCGAGCGGATCGGAGAAACGCGGACTCGGTTCGGAAGCGGCGCGCGCGCGCGTTTATCTTCCCCTGTCATCTTCTGCGTTGCTCTCGTCTTCCCCGGCTCACGATAAGGTGCGCTGCCATAGTCGAAGAGGAGGATCACACAACTAACCTATATGGCCAGGACGGGATGGCGCAAACGGTCGACGGCCCCGCGTGGCGATCGCGCCCAGTCGCAGGGTTGGCGCGACCGTGGTCCTTGCG